CTGCTGTAGGTGACCCTGCTTTGGCAGGGGGGTTGGACTAGGTGACCCACAGAGGTCCCTTCCAACCCCTAACATTCTGTGATTCTATGATTTTATAATTCCCTGGTCGTAGAGATACTTTCATAATAGAAATGTGATGTGTAGAAACTGAACCCACAGTTCACCATATTCTTTTTTCCGTTTTGCAGAAGAAATGTAGGCACTTACCTAAAACAAAACCTGTCCTGACCAGTGCCAGGCCCTGCTGACAAAGGACTGTGAGCATGTTACAGAGTTCACCAGATTTTTCCTTAAAAATTTAATTTTAAATCGAGGGTATAAAGTTACATTACAATAGAAGCAGGTTCTCACACAGCCTGAACATCTTTCAGGTCTACCAGCCTGCCTGTGCTGATACACCTTCACACTTCTATCTAGACCGCTTCTTTTAACCTGACGTGCTGAAGTGGTACAAGTGAATATAGATTTTTACCCGTTTTTTACACTCTGAAAGATGGAAGGATAATGTACTCCTGAGTGAGATAATCATGTATCTTGAGTTCATTTAAGTAGTTTTGTATAAGTACTACAAACCACTGATTTACAGAGTTGTTAAGTGCTACCAACTAAATAATTGGTATTGATCATTCTATTAAAGCACATTTCTTCAGTTTTAAGATACATATTATGCTTACCTTTATCAAAGACCAACTTGAAAAGTTTGTGGTTCCTGGAACCTGTTATCTGATGATATATGGATTAGCAAATATTCTAAGCAGCAGTATTTGTTGCAAAGAAAAAAGGGCATCATACTATAATAAAAATCTAAAGGCTGAGAATATTTTGTGAAATGTTGAGGTTTAAAATAGCAGAAAAGTCAGAAAAGGCTGAAATATCAGTGAAAAAGGAGAAAGAGTTACATCTCTCAGAGGAATAAAGAAAGATCATAGCTTCTTTATCCAAGTAATATGTGAGAAATAGCACGAGGTTATGTGAAATGTCTCCTCAGAAAAAAGAAAGCTCTTCAGAAGCTGGCAAAGAACATAATCAAAGCAGCCAAGACATCTGGATGTAGAAAACATATGCCAGGGCTGCCGGAAATGTGCTTGTTTCGTTTCTGTTGAGGACAGTGATGAAAAAAAAAGGTTTGACATCTGCGGAGGATCAGACATTATAATGGATCATGGACTTCAAGAAGTTAGTGAACAAATGAAAACTACAGTCACTTCCAGAATTCCCAGCTTCACATTTACAAATGCAGAAGATAGAACAATTTTATTTTTTTTTTTTATGAAAGTAGTCTATGATGGACAAAATAATCAAAACATACATGGCCAAATGTATGAGAAATAAATTTGATATTCCGAGGTGGATCTTTAGCTGCAGTGATGGATATTGAAGCATAATTGGCAATAAGGTTGTCTGATTTGATAATGTTGCAGTTTTCCCCTCCCACTTTGCAATCTCACGAATCAGACTGAGACCAACAGAGGTTTAGGTGCTGTGAATCGGGATTTCTTCAAAAGCTGCTCAGGCTTGAAATTCAGACAGTTTGTGTTCAGCTTTGAAATCAAAACTGACTCCAGTCATATGTATGTATTCTACCAGAAGTAGCTATCACCGCACCAGCATATTGTTGTTTGTGCCATCCATTGCTTGAACTGAGTGGGGTTATCTGCTCTCTCTGGTGGCTGATGCTTGGCCTGGGAGCAAATGTCTCAGAGTAGAGAATTGTTAAAAAATTCTGAGTCTGGATCTGTAGGAGAGGACAGTCATTGGGGTGTGGCTGCATAGGCCCCACTGCTAAATTCGTCACGGCTATTACAAGTTCAAAGTGTGACACACATCTTGAAAAATGCAGCAGTCTGCCGATGCCTCTGCGTGTGGAGATGCTGCTAATTAAAAGAGAAGAAAGAGAAAGAAAAGACCAGTAAACTATTTGCTGAAAGCTATTTTTGCTTTAGAAATAAATTATAACTGGGTATTGAGCCAACTGGAAGTGAAATCCCATAGAATATGCGTTCTGGTGACTGAACAAAAACAGTGCAGCAGACAGATTTGTGAACAATCTACAGTGGCGGTAACTGGTACGAACTCATTGAATGGAGAAATGACTGCTAGTAGAATAAAAAAATACGGCATTTTACTTTTTTTGGATGCGTTTTTTAAGGAGTTTTGCGAACTGCTAGTGTGATTCTGCCATGCTACTGATCAGCAGTTTGAGTTAGTGAGACAAAAATACCTGACGTTATTCTGGTATAAGCACTGCAGCATTTTTTTAAGAATTCTGTATCTAATGGACTTCTAGAAATTTAATTTAAAGACCTGTAGCAAATAAAGTATTTAATCAAATAGCTAAGATGTGAAGTGGCCATCCACAATGTTTGTTGTATATGAAAAGTGTTTTAACAAAATATTGAGGATGGAATGTAACAGGCAGTTACTGAATACACAATGAGAACAGCAGCACTCTGGAGAGAGAAAAAACTCCCTAGAAAATGCTTGAACAGAGATAGGAGTCATTACATGTACACCGCGGTTTGTAACACTTTAAAGCAGATAATTGCAATTTCCTGTTAATCTGATAATTGCGTCTTATCTTTCCTCAGGGTTTAGAAGGTCCTTTTGGCCCTAGGGGACCTCGGGGACCTCAGGTAAGGAAACTAAATGCTACCAAATAAAAAGAAAACACATAATATTCTGCAAGTTTCTTCTGCGTACAACCCGTCAGCTCTGTGGAGAGCAGCACATTTAGTGCATGAGGCACCGAGACAGCAAAGTCTGGCAAATCTTTGTCTTTTGAAAATAATTTTCAAAGACAAAATCTTGGCTGCTGCTGCTGCTTAAAGCTACTCAGAGGTGTGTGGCCCACTTGGGCTCTCCAGCTGCAGAGCTGTCCTCTTACCCTTACAGTATAATCATGCTCTGTCATACCCCTACTTGAGAAATTCCTCTTGTATTACATGGCAGCGTCCACCTGGATCTTGGGAGGCTGTACGCAGTCCTCCCAAAATACAAAGTAGCCAGAGAGACTGAAATTTGTTGGAGAGACTAAAATCTGCGGTCATTGTTTAAATACCTGAGAAAAGAGTCAGATAAAGTCTCAGTGTTACTAGGAGCAGAGATTGTTTGCACTCTTATATCAGTGATCATTTATTTGTTATCTGTGCAGAAGTCCAGATTGTCCTCTTCTCTCTTTGCAGTTCCTGAAAAGGGTTATTGCTGTCTTTGTGTTTCTTACAACCTGTGTAATTTCGATTAAAAAATGATACTAGACACGTAAAAATAGCTGCTGTGTGGAGCAGAGATCTCAAGAAGTTGTACCAGTTTCGCAGTAGATCCATAGGTGATGTGGAATGATGAGAGCCGGCACTTGCCCTCTCACTTCTCTTCTGAGCCTGTTTCTGGGTTATAGGAAAGAAAACATAATGGGGGTATAATAGGGTAACACAAATTTATTACATGGTGGTAAGATGTGAATATTTAGTCCTAAATGCCATTTTGAATGTTTTCAAATTATGTTTTTCTGCTTTCCTTTTGCTTGGCGATGTACATTCAATAACGCTACAAATGTGTTAATTTATTATTTTATGCTCCAGTAATTCTGTCTGGGAAGCAATTAGAAATGATGTGATTTCTGCCCCAAAAGATGACACTTATTTATTCCTGTTTATTAAAAAACGGAAATACATGGAGTCTAAGAGATTTTTGGCCAATTTTGGCAGGAATTAATGACACAAATCGGATTACTAGCATTTCCCTGCATAAATTCAATTTACCATGCACTGTATGTTCAGTTTTGCACACTCTGTAAAGTACCAGCTGCTGTTGCAAGTCAAGCCATCTCTAAATTTGTGTACAATGACATAACCTGATTATTTTAAGGCAAAATCAATTTTTTTTTCTTTTCATATAGAGCATCACTGCAATTACTCATACATTATCCCACTTTTGAGCTTAATGTTACATATTGCCATATAGTACAATGGTCTACATTCAGTTTAGGTTTGAAAGGCTCATTACAAAAGAAATCCTAACTGCTGGAGAACAGAAGCCGATGAATGTACCACTATACAAGAGGACTAATCAATGGTTACAAGGAATTACTGTAATTCTGAGCTATGAGAACTAATTACCATGGGAACTACAACCCACTTAATGACTAGAAGGAAGACAGCATGCAGTGAGATGGAGAATGATTTATCTTATGTATTTGTATTAACAGATTATATTGTGTATTTCTGTTAGCACACCCAGCCTCAAGCATATTGCCATTTTACTGCTGGGACATTTGTCCATCTCACATCATGATCATATTTCTTTTCCTCAGGAAGAATAGCTTGTAAAAATGTTTTTTTCCAAAGTCTCTTTTGGAAATGCTTTCCAAGTACTAAGAGATTTTATAGAAATATTGTTTTTCTTTATATGACACTAAGATACTAAAGGAATAGAGTTTACTTCTTTTGAAACAAACAAAACTGTAAGATTTCTTTTATTAAATAGTACTCAATTAAAATGCATAAACCAAGGATTAAGGCCATATAACTGTGAGTTTGTGTACAGTATGGCACTTGGGACATTGCTGTACTCTTGTGTGACAGTTTTTCCCCTGGTTTGTAAAGTTATCATTTGAGCTTAATTTGGAACACTAACTATATTAATTTGATTCACTGTTTTCCCCCCCAGTATTTGATTTGTGGTTGTATGACAGAAGTGTGTGACTGCATTTTTGCATACTTTGTGCAGAAACTGCAAAAGGAAAGGAGAGAATAATAATTGGGGTTTTTCTCTGAATGGAAATCCATGAGAGATACAAAATCACAGATATTCCAAAATTTTCACATCTGTTTGTGAGCCAAAATGCAATATTTTTGAGGATTTATCATAGCTGTTAATAACAGTAGCTGAAAGGGATTATTTTTGTTTCTTATTGGATAGTCACGTGTTTCCTGTAGTTTATCATATTTAAGAAAGGGAATGAACACACTCTGAGCCCATTTTTGTGTCAGCAATGAAACCAATACATTTAGATTTGGGCCACTGTGTATCTTTTTATAAGCATAAAATTATCCATATTTGACCCAGCATTTTTACTACAATGAACTGTAATTATGTGGTATTATTCTTTTGATAACTCATGCTTATTTTTTTTCTCCAATCTCTTAAAAAACTTTCTGAGGTTTCCACTTCATTTTGATTATCAGCTCGGTTAGTGGTAGCTGCAACAACGTTAACCAATCTGACCCAACTGGGCAGCCCAGCAGATGCCAATGGCATGTTCACTAACTCACAAGTTGGTGAACTGGAGGGTTCAAGTGAGAGTTAAAGCTTTAACAGCAGACTTGGGTGTAATCTATTCATCCTGTGATCGTACTGCTCTTCATAATTCTCACACTTACTTTTTTCTAGCTACTGTACCAGCCACTGTGTTGGTGAAGGGACCTCCCTAAATGTCATCAGTCCACACAGAGGACCTTACGTGCTCTGTCTCTTCCAAAGAGCCATTAATTATTGCCTTGTGTGAGGGGACACAATGGTTGAAGTAATGTCAGCGAATTAAAATTAATCTCAGCTCATCAGCAAAGAGGGGTGTAGGGGAAGTGATTTCTTACAAACAGAGCTAAGTAGGACATGACAGCTTAGTTTATTTGCTTGGGTGGAAGAGAGAATATGAAAATATGGTGAAGTCAGGAGCAGGAGAAGAAAGGAACAGAAAACTTTGGATAAAACAGATGCAATTCACATGCAGTAATAGGATATCCTTTCTGCCACCACTGGTTATTGAATATTAACAATATTGAATGTGATGGGCATATCACAGGATAGGATGCAGAAAACTCTTGTCTGTTAGAGCTTAGCATTGTGCTACGATTTACTGTACCCTGTTCAGGCCAAATTCAAAAGTAACTTTACATGCATCTTCAAAGGCAACTCATTCTATACTTTGACTTTTGTGTAGGGTATCAGTGGACCTCCAGGTGAGCCAGGCCCAAAAGGCATTCAAGGAAGCAAGGTAAGATGCAGCTGTATATGTATAGATGTTAATTATATAGGGAGAGAGTATGCAGAAACTCTGTGTAGAATCTTTATATTCTACTGTCCTTTCTCCCCTGTAGTTTTTTGTTAGTGGTGTCGATTGCACCGCAATAATGTACACCACCTGCTTGGTGCACCATGGTGTCATCATGTTATGAAGGCTTTGTATCATTGGCACGTACAGCCAGTTTTCCATCTGGGTCTCCAAGAACATTTTGTAGGGCCACAATAGGGTGCTACCAAGGGTCTGCCTAGAGCCACAGAGCTTGGGTTGGAATTGAAGTCAACTGAATATGTGTCTTGGCTTTTACCATCACTTGGGAAGTTTTTTCTGGTATGTTTTTTACTAAAATGCCTTGTGTTTAAAGATTTTAAGTAATTCTAGATGGTGGTTATAAAATCTTTAGAATGAGTATTTAAAGTAATTTTTAACTACTTGTGAACTGTAAAAACTCAAGACAGCTTTGAAATTGGTATCAGTGTAAGATTTGATGACGATTGGTGCCTTAGTTGCATTTATAATTGACCATTTAGAGTTAATGACTACAACTTGTCAAGAAAAATCAGTTGGATAAAGTTTCTGATTAATTTAGGCAGGTTTCTGCTTTGCAGCCCTTTGAGAAATGGCTTTACGTGAATACAGTGGGGACAGCTATTAACATCATTGCTCGGTACAGAAAGATCTTTCATGTATCAGTTTGAAAATGTAGGGTCTAACGTCAAAGACTTTCTACCACAGGATTCTTGATAGCCTGGTTAATACAGTTCCATATCTAAGTTACACAAGGCAACTAAGTTCACATAAAACAATTTTCCAAAGATGCAATATTTAAACACTCGTGTTTTGTTTCCCAGGCAACAATTTAATTTGAAGATTGACAGAAATAAATTTAGATACGGAAAATGCTTATTGTAAAAGGTTCGGAATACTGGCATCCATCATGATTTTCCTCTTACTGACAAATGCTTTTTCATACTTCTTATTTCTCCATCTTCTCAACAAAATGCTTGATTAGGAAAGTTGCTACAGAATATTTCAGAAGTGGGGAAAGAAAGAGGATGATGGGTCTGAAAAAAGCTATTCATACATATGGTGGAAAAGTCGTGCCTCTCTAACTTCAACACGGCAAATGACAGTAATTTTTTTATCTGTCATTTCACACTGAGGAGTCCAAGATAGTGCTAGCAGATCACAGAATCACAGAATCACAGAATAGTAGGGGTTGGAAGGGACCTCTGTGGGTCATCTAGTCCAACCCCCCCGCCGAAGCAGCGTCACTTTGTGCCCATTGCCCCTTGTCCTGTCGCTGGGCACCACTGAAAAGAGCTTGGCCTCATCCTCCTGACACCCACCCTTCAGATATTTGTAGGCATTTATAAGGTCCCCTCGCAGCCTTCTCTTCTTCAGGCTGAACAAGCCCAGTTCCCTCAACCTCTCCTCGTAGTGGAGATGCTCCAGTCCCCTCACCATCCTTGTAGCCCTCCGCTGGACTCTCTCCAGTAGCTCTTCATCCTTCTTGAACTGGGGAGCCCAGAACTGGACACAGTACTCCAGATGAGGCCTCACTAGGGCAGTGTAGAGGGGAAGGAGAACCTCCCTTGTCCTGCTGGCCACACTCTTCTTGATGCACCCCAGGATCCCATTGGCTTCCTTGGCAGCCAGGGCACACTGCTGGCTCATGGTCAACCTGTCATCCACCAGGACACCCAGGTCTCTCTCCGCAGAGCTGCTCTCCAGCAGGTCCACCCCAAACTTTTGTTATACACTAAACTGTATTTGTTGAATGTTGTTTGTCCTCCTATCAGTCTCTTCACACACTTTCATGTCTGTAAAATACATCTCTCTCTAGAATTCATCTACCTGGATATAATGTTTATGGTCTCTTGTTATACTTTAGTTGCAGATTTTCAGTATGAAAAAGTTGAAAGAATGAAAGTTCCCTGTTTTTTCAGCTTCCAACTCTTCAACCTGCTGGTTGAAGTCTATAGTTGAGGTTTTTCCAGGCTTAGATAGCTACCATAACAAAAATATTGCCAGACAAGTTTAATTAATACACTGAGATAATGAAAGCGTATAGCAGAAACATATGTAAGTTTAGAGGTTGTCTCTTGTCCATACCTGATGCCAAAGCTAACTTTTGGCATTTTGGAGCTTATGTGAGACGAGTGAAAAATTTTCTAGTGATCAGTAATCAGTGGTTGTTTACAGCTTCATAAGCACCCGTTCAGCTAGTAATGTCCTTACAGAAGGATTATTCAATTGCTCTTTTAAAATTAGTTTTCATGACACATAATACAATATCTCTGAGAAGTGGCAGTTATTTATAACTGCCTTGGAGAAAAAAAAGAAGTCTATTCTTAGTGCAGTTCCTTGTACCCGTGGCCTTTCCATGCTAATACTTTCTGCATTTTGAGCTGAACTAGTGACTTCACCCTGGTTTAGCAGAGCTAATGGCAGTTGCATGACATCGATATCAATGTGACAGAACACAGAACACCGCCGTGGAACACTTTTATTCATTGTTAGTGGGCCATGTTGAGGTTTGAAAGAGGAGATTCAGTTCCCCAAAATACAAACTACGGATGAAGCTCAGCCTACAGATGTTTTGGGTAGCATTTGTGAAGCTCACTCATACATCTGGCCAGCTCCGTCCCTCCCACATGTCGGTAAGGCAGAGCCGTAGCGGTTGTTTCGCTTTGCAGTGCCAGGTAGCAGGCACTGCTGGGGACAGTGTCCTCTGTGTGCTGTCTGGATGCACTGGCTCTGCCAGCCACCAGCAGGACCGGGGTTGGTGGCATCGCAGCTTCAACTAATTTAATTTGACTTATCTGAAGCCAGGTAGCATGGAGTCCAGAAACATTGTCCAAGAAATTATTTAAAAGAACTTTCCATACCTTACTTCTTCAGTTATCTGTATGCATTTTCTTGCTCTCTCTTAAGCTGCTGGCTAATCTGTCAGTGTGAAGTCTTACTGGCTGCAAAACTCTCTACCTCCATCCCTTTTCATGATACTGCCTTATCATATTGCCCGTAATGAGCTGAATCGCTCTTGAAGTCCCACTGCTGCATTGACCAGCTTTCCACTGACTACAACAGCAACTCAGCCGACCTGTTTCCATGTAGACAGCTAAGTTTAGGAGTGATCATATGTAGCTGAATCACATCCTTAACCTCCTAAAGTCTTGCTGATGCACTTTGCAATCAGTCCTTACCTTTAATAACCTCTTTAATATACAAACAAAGTTCATTAGTTTACTTTCACCCTCTTTTCAAGTCATGTATGAATGTCAAACAACCTGTATCCTGCACAGAATGTAGCTCAGCATGGCATTAACTAAAACCAGTTTTTGCTATTAAGCAAACTTTAAAAAAGGTTTTCTCTATTTGCATTTCTGCAAAGTTCTAACATATGAATAAACATCTAAATAGTTTTATTACCATATATACAAACCTTCTCCATAAAGAGGCTGAGGCATTTAAAATGACAGATTTGAACTCTGTTTCTATAAAAATAAAAATACATGGGTTTTTATCGTAACAGCTGTTTGTACTCCCTACACCAGTACCTAATAGTACAGCTGCTGCGAGGCAGATTACATGACACCAGTCATTGGAAAGAAAACCGTGTAATGTTTTTGTTGTGGTGAAAAAAAGAGCTTTTGGAAAAACATTAACTTCAGGAGGAGTCCCATCTGCATTCAAGGCAGCACATGTATGAGCGTAGCTCTCTGTGGGTGAAGTTGCGAAGGAGCAAATGATTTGTGGTAGGAAGCATCCCTCAGAGTTGCAGTCCTTGGGAAGGTCTGTCAGAGGCTGTCAGAAATAGATGCGAAACATAATGTCCGTTTGGACAACAGGACAAAAAATTTGGAAGACGCTTTCCAAACACAACAAAGGGATTTGGTTTATTGTTTTAGCTGAGAGATGAGCCTGTATTCATCAAATGTTGTTTTTCAGAATGGAACAAGTTCCTACACTATTTCAGAGGTTTAGTTTTGACAAATGGAGCCAATGTGCTGAGTGGCGCTTGCTGCACCCAGAGTAGCCTACTTACTTACGCATAGTAGTGCTGCTGAATTACTGTTATTTTTATCTGATAGATTTTTTTTTTAAATATATTTTCGATTTTGCATATCTTTTGTGTTCATTCTGTGGGGTGTGACAATACATTGTGGCACAGCAGAGATCCCAGGCTTCCCTCTCCACGAAAGAAATGAGGACTGTGAATTTGAACAGCTAATACTTAGCATACTGCCTGGCCTCACAACAGCCTGTGCCTGTTTCTTTCTCACTGAGGCACCTGTTCCTTGAAGTGCGGAAGTCTGAGCCTAGCTTGACTGTCTCCAGGCCCGGAAGCTACATGGAGCTGTATCTGTTAATGTTGCTTGTCAAGTGAAAGAGCTGTTGCAGTAAGAGTTGGTGGTGAGGTAAGGGAGCCTATGGGCTGAAAGGCAAGGCTGCTTGGGCACCAAGCTGGTGTGCTTGACTTAATGTTCCTCCAAAACCTATGCTTTGTGGATCTTGACCAGCTTTGCAAGAAGCACAACTATGAGTAAAAGTGGCAGAAATAATTCTGCTCTTGAGGGAGTGTCTATGCATGGACATTTGCTTGCAAAACTTTCTATTGATACCTTAATACAACAGTTTTACTTGTATAGCTCCCATGGGGATGATCTCGCCCTGGAAGCAGAGCACACCACAGGGCTGGGTGTGTGCAGCTACAGCACTGCGGCTTTGCTGATGCCATTCTGCCAGTGCACTTCTACGCACTGATGCACAATCAGAAGCTGCACTTCCATTGATGCTTAGATGCTTGTGATCTGTTGGCATGAATGAACTTCGGTAGCCTAAATTACTACTGTTGGAAATGAAATGGAGGCTTCTAAGTCACTAAAACCTGTTTGAAATTGTTGCTTTTAGTACATAATATTTTCTAAAGGACTAGTATAAAACATTTTCCTACATACTTCCCCTACTTCTTGTCTAAACAGAATCAGCCGCAAAAGCCCCAAAATTCGGATAATTGTTGGCTTAAAGGACAACAGTACTTAAAACAGAGAGTCTGTGAAGAGAATTAAAGAGGAGACAAGTATGAGCTTTTGTTGTATTATTTTTGGCATTCCC